GCCCCCAGCAGCACCCTCCTCCCCTCCTCGTAATCATCCTGGTCGACGCTAACGAGGAGGCGGAGCCGCTCCCTCCCCACGGCCCTTCGCAGCCCCTCGGTGAGGAACACCCCCTCCAGGGCCGCCCCCAGGGCCCCGCTCAGATAATCCCCCCAAAACGCCTCCAGGTACGAAAGTTCCGAAAATTTGATGTCGCAGAGGATTGAGCCCAAATCCCGGGATTTGAGGACGCCGCTGGCCTGGCCGAAAACGTCCAACTGGCGGGGGGGCCCCCGGGGGCGGCTGGACACCACGCTGCGCCGCAGCACGGCCTCGTGCTCGCAGAACTCGGCCCGTACCCGCAGGCGGATGTCTGGGGGGGGAGAGAAGGGGTTAAATCCACCAGTCACACCAGTACGGGCACTGGGAGAAGCGGCCCAGACCCCTCAATAACATTTATAAACCTTATATTGCGTCAATCGTCCCAGTTCTCCCCAGTACGGGCACTGGGAGAAGCAGCCCAGACCCCACAATAACCTTTATAATTCTTATATTGGGTCAATAGTCCCAGTTCTCCCCAGTAAGACCAGTATCAGGGTTGAGGTAAGTGAGTATCAAGGGGGGGAATCAGAAATGAAGGGGTTAAATCCACCAGTTAGACCAGTACGGGCACTGGGAGAAGCAGCTCAGACCCCACAATAACATTTATAAACCTTATATTGGGTCAATAGTCCCAGTTCTCCCCAGTAAGACCAGTATCAGGGTTGAGATAAAGCAGATACTGGGGAGGGAATCAGAAATGAAGGGGTTAAATCCACCAGTAAGACCAGTACGGGCACTGGGAGAAGCGGCCCAGACCCCTCAATAACATTTATAAACCTTATATTGCATCAATAGTCCCAGTTCTCCCCAGTAAGACCAGTATCAGGGTTGAGATAAAGCAGATACTGGGGAGGGAATCAGAAATGAAGGGGTTAAATCCACCAGTCAGACCAGTACGGGCACTGGGAGAAGGAGCCAAGACCTCCCAATAAGTCCTATGTTGCATATATGGGGTTAATAGTCCCAGTTCTCCCAGTAAGGGCACTGGGAGAAGCGGCTCAGACCCCTCAATAACATTTATAAACCTTATATTGGGTCAATAGTCCCAGTTCTCCCCAGTAAGACCAGTAACAGAACTGGGAGAAGTGGCTTGGACCTCCTAATAAGTCTTATATTACTTATATTGGGTTAACAGTCCCAGTTCTCCCCAGTTAAACCAGTAAGGGCACTGGGAGAAGCGGCCCAGACCCCTCAATAACATTTATAAACCTTATATTGGGTCAATAGTCCCAGTTCTCCCCAGTAACACCAGTATCAGGGTTGAGGTAAGCGAGTATCAAGGGGGGGAACCAGAAATGAAGGGGTTAAATCCACCAGTCAGACCAGTACGGGCACTGGGAGAAGGAGCCAAGACCTCCCAATAAGTCCTATGTTGCATATATGGGGTTAATAGTCCCAGTTCTCCCCAGTAACACCAGTACGGGCACTGGGAGAAGGAGCCAAGACCTCCCAATAAGTCCTATGTTGCATATATGGGGTTAATAGTCCCAGTTCTCCCAGTAACGGCACTGGGAGAAGCGGCCAGACCCCACAATAACATTTATAATTCTTATATTGGGTCAATAGTCCCAGTTCTCCCCAGTAAGACCAGTATCAGGGTTGAGGTAAGTGAGTATCAAGGGGGGGAATCAGAAATGAAGGGGTTAAATCCACCAGTTAGACCAGTACGGGCACTGGGAGAAGCGGCCCAGACCCCACAATAACATTTATAAACCTTATATTGGGTCAATAGTCCCAGTTCTCCCCAGTAAGACCAGTAACAGAACTGGGAGAAGTGGCTTGGACCTCCTAATAAGTCTTATATTACTTATATTGGGTTAACAGTCCCAGTTCTCCCCAGTTAAACCAGTAAGGGCACTGGGAGAAGCGGCCCAGACCCCTCAATAACATTTATAATTCTTATATTGGGTCAATCGTCCCAGTTCTCCCAGTAACACCAGTAACGGCACTGGGAGAAGCAGCTCAGACCCCCCAGACCCCTCAATAACCCTTATTACTGCCCCAATAGTCCCAGTTCCCCCCAGTAAGACCAGTAACAGCACTGGGAGAACTGGCCAGGACCTCCCAATAAGTCTTATGTTGCGTATATTGGGTCAATAGTCCCAGTTCTCCCAGTATCCCCAGTACGGGCACTGGGAGAAGCACCCAGACCCCCAGTAGCCCCTCTATTGGGTCAATAGTCCCAGTTCTCCCAGTATCCCCAGTACGGGCACTGGGAGAAGCACCCAGACCCCCAGTAGCCCCTCTATTGGGTCAATAGTCCCAGTTCTCCCAGTATCCCCAGTACGGGCACTGGGAGAAGCACCCAGACCCCCAGTAGCCCCTCTATTGGGTCAATAGTCCCAGTTCTCCCAGTATCCCCAGTACGGGCACTGGGAGAAGCACCCAGACCCCCAGTAGCCCCTCTATTGGGTCAATAGTCCCAGTTCTCCCAGTATCCCCAGTACGGGCACTGGGAGAAGCACCCAGACCCCCAGTAGCCCCTCTATTGGGTCAATAGTCCCAGTTCTCCCAGTATCCCCAGTACGGGCACTGGGAGAAGCACCCAGACCCCCAGTAGCCCCTCTATTGGGTCAATAGTCCCAGTTCCCCCCAGTTCCCCCCAGTCCCAAACTGGGAGAGCTCTCCCAGTCCTACACTGCACCAGTTCTCCCAGTTTACCCCAGTCCCATACTGGGCCGCTCTCCCAGTTCCTCCCAGTCCCATACTGGGGGAGCTCTCCCAGTGCTCCCAGTTCCTCCCAGTTCCCCCCAGTCCCAAACTGGGAGAGCTCTCCCAGTTTGGGACTGGGGGGAACTGGGAGGAACTGGGAGCACTGGGAGAGCTCCCCCAGTATGGGACTGGGGTAAACTGGGAGAACTGGTGCAGTGTAGGACTGGGAGAGCTCTCCCAGTCCTACACTGCACCAGTTCTCCCAGTTTACCCCAGTCCCATACTGGGGGAGCTCTCCCAGTGCTCCCAGTTCCTCCCAGTCCTCCCAGTTCCTCCCAGTCCTCCCAGTTCCCCCCAGTCCCATGACAAGAACCGCCCCCAAAGAGGGGATTTTGGTGGATTTTGAGCTCCCCCAATTCTCCCAGTCCCAAACTGGGAGAGCTCTCCCAGTGCTCCCAGTTCCTCCCAGTTCCCCCCAGTCCCAAACTGGGAGAGCTCTACCAGTGCTCCCAGTGCTCCCAGTTCCCCCCTAGTCCTCCCAGTCCCAAACTGGGCCACCTCTCCCAGTGCTCCCAGTTCCCCCCAGTCCCAAACTGGGAGAGCTCTCCCAGTGCTCCCAGTCCCGTACTGGGCCACTCTCCCCAGTACACCCCAGTGCTCCCAGTGCCCCCAGTTCCCCCCTTGTATTGCCAATATCCCCAGTGTTCCCGCCTCTCCCAGTGCTCCCAGTTCCTCCCAGTTCCCCCCAGTCCCACGACAAGACCCCCCCCCAAAGAGGGTATTTTGGCGGATTTTGCCCCAAACGGAGCCTTTTCCCCAAAAAGGGCGTTTTTCACCCCAAAGGGGGTGGGGGAGGGGCCGTACCGCAGGTGA